GAAATCTTATGAAATTCCACAAGGGCAAGTGTAGAGTTTTGCACCTGGGTAAGAATAACCCCATGTGCCAGTACAGGCTGGGAACTGACCTGCTGGAGAGCAGTGTAGGAGAAAGGGACACCTGGGGGTTCTGGTGGACAGCAGGATGACCATGAGCCAGCAATGTGCCCTCGTGGCCAAGAAGGCCAAGGGCATCCTGGGGTGTATTAGAAGGGGAGTAGCTAGTAGTTCGAGAGAGGTCCTCCTGCCCCTCTACTCTGCCCTGGTGAGGCCACATCTGGAATATTGTGTCCAGTTCTGGGCCCCTCAGTTCAAGAAGGACACAGAACTGCTTGGAAGAGTCTAGGACAGAGCCACAAAGATGATGAAGGGAGTGGAACATCTCCCTTATGAGGAAAGGCTGAAGGAGCTGGGTCTCTTTAGCTTGGAGAAGAGGAGGCTGAGGGGTGACCTCCTAAATGCTTATAAATATGTCAAGGGGGAGTGTCAGGAGGACAGTGCCAGGCTCTTTTCAGTGATGTCCAGTGACAGGACAAGGGGCAATGGATACAAGCTGAAATACAGGAGGTTTCATGTAAACCTAAGGAAAAACATTTTCCCTCTGAGAGTAACAGAACACTGGCACAGGCTGCCCAGGGAGCTTGTGGCGGCTCTTTCCCGATTGTGGAGTCTCCTTCCCTGGAGACATTCAAAACCTGCCTGGATGTGTTCCTGTGTGACCTACTGTAGGTGATCCTACTCTGGCAGTGGGGCTGGACTAGATGGTCTTTTGAGGTTCCTTCCAACCCCTGACATTCTGTGATTCTGTGATTCAAGGCAGTTACTCAGATATTACCCTCCTTAAATGCATGTTTAAGGACTAAAATAGAAGCAATGAGTTGGGGAGGAGTGATGCTTCTTCCTCCTCCCCTTTTCCTGCAGAGACTTTTTAGTGTTCTATGGAGATCCTGAGCTGGAGAGATGGGCTTTGAAGGTGAAACACAAGTTTTGACAACAGTAGTGTGACCTGTTTTCTGCTTTCTGTTGCAGTTGATACTGACTTGGTCAACTCGCTAGAAAAAAGTCTCTTTAAAAGTAGGTCTCTGCTGAGCTATCTTACGAATAAAGAAGGTCAAATGATCTGGATGAGGTGGACAGCTCAAAAATGTATGATCTTTTTCATGTCTATGAAAACTAGTATCACCACGTGAGAATAAACATGATACTGCCATTCTTGGATGATTCCCAAATGAAGTGATAGTGTGAGTGAAAAAGGCAGGAAAACTTAAAAAACAAACAAAACCAAACAAACAAAATCCACCACAACAAAAAAAACCAAACTCAACCACACACCTGCAGTTTTTCTTTAAGGGTGGGGGAAATGGACAGACAGGACTTGTCTTCTCTCCCTCTGTTCTTATGCTGTCTGTAACCTGGAGTATTCTACATAACCTGTGAGTACATTAAAGTTTTGTGCTAACCTATTACTAGTTTGACCTGTAGCTGAAGTCATGCTGCTTTCTCTCAGGGAGGAGTGAGGTTTCCCTGTCCAACTAATCCTTAGTCTTTCAATTACTTGTAATAGCATTTGCTTACTTGCAAAGGCTATAATCACAGTAGCTCTTTAAACCCAAGCTGTTAGGGGAAAGGATCCACTTTAGAGCTGTAATGCCAAGTTTTTATTTTCTTTCTACCCTAAGCACTCCAAGAAGATAATGAATACAGATTCTTATTTGGCTTTTGTACTGCACAAAACTTCTGCTGAGCAGAACTTCAATAAAATGAGGGAGGGAAATACTTCAATTGTGGAGCTTATTTAATAGGCTGCTAAGTTCAGAACTGCTGCTCTTGGATATCTAATACAGGAGTGTGCTGCTTTTAGATGGAGATAAGACTTCATTCTGAGTGAGTAGTAGAATTCCTTCAACCTGAAGACTTTTAAGTGATGACTTGGGAGGAATCCTTGGCTGCAATGGAGACCTCTTAGTTAAGGATTGTCTACTTTTTCCCTGAACTTGAGTGTAGCTTTGGGATCGAATACTAAGCCATTTCTGCTTGCAAGAGTTAACTGTTTGGGTTTTGCTGTTTTTGTAATAAAGGAATGCTCACAACCTCCCAGTTAGAAGGCACTCTGCAGAGACTTTTAGGAATGGCTACTATTTCTCAGGTACTCCCAAGACCATGCTAGTCATCCTTTTGCTACTTGGTGTGCTTTTACACAGATGTAGGAAGTGATTTAGGGCCTAGTGATGCTACTTCCCAGGAAGATGTGAGGGAGTAGCAGTAGGAGTATTTAGACAGCTCTTGTCTGAAAATAAATGCTATTTTAAACTAATTGCTTAATCTTGTAGTATGCCCATGCTATGGATCCACTTAATGCTTAAAGTAGTATGGATGAATGTTCTACTGCTCCATAGATCCTTCTTGGATAATGTTGTATGTGGTGTACTCTGTTGGTACTAGTCCTGTGACCTGATCTTCTACTTGGCTTTTCTTTCTTTCCTGCACTCAGCAGCAAGGATGATTTGTTGACTGCAACTTAAATAAACTGGCTTACAACTATATTTAATGTTCCAGTGGGTAAAATGGCCATGCTTCAAAAAGTCCAGGCTCTTTTTGTTCAGCCAGGTACCTAGCCACTGTGATATTTGAGATTTCATTTTACAGATGCACACGTGTCAACTTTTGCAACCCCTGAAGCAGGATTGTCTAGCGATGAGTAAGGGCAGTGCTGGCAGCATGGTAAACTTGTTGCTGTAGTGGTGTTGCCTTTGAAGGTTTTCACATACTGCCTGCAGCATCTACTGAAGGGCAGCTGAAGAATCTATTTGCTGCTTGGCAAACCAGTAACAAACCTTGGAGGCCTCCGAAGCTGCCGTGCTAGGAGCTTTGGACAGACTTACTGTCTGTGACTCAGTATTTCTAAATCACTATTTGTAGCTAAAACCTCTCTTGCGATGTGGGTGTGGTGTAACCACTGAAGCGGAGCCAGTGGGTTATGTTTGCCTGCCAGGTTTTAGTTCTTTATTTTAATTTTCAATTTGGTAGCACTTGGATGGTATAAAGATTTCCCTTTTAAAGGTCCTGTTTTCTTGGGTTGGAAAAGATTAATTACAGGTCTTTCTATTAGAATCAAACAATGAAAGACAGGAACCAAGGGCAAAAACAAAACAAAAAAAACCAACCAAACAAAAAAAACTCCATTCATTGTATGCCAGCTGTAGCCATACCAAGGAAAAACAAATTTACTGTTTAAAATGAGTCCTCAGTTTCCCTTACTTGCTGCCACTGGCCGTCTTACTCAACAAGATTACAAATATCAAGTAATTTCATGACCAAAGAATGCTGGAATAGGGGGAACCAGTCAATCATAAATCTCATGATGCTCTCTTAGCTGTTACATTTTCTTTTGGTGAAAGAGCCAGGAGCTTTGAATTTGTTGATGATGATGGGAGCTATCAAAAGTCCACTGGTAAATCCCAGCACAGGATGATTTGTTAAATAATATTGGTGGATAATACAACTCCACCTTTAGGCTCTGAGAATAAGATAATCTTTTTCTAAATGACAGTTTTTTCCCCAGAGCATCCTGTGAATGACTGGCAAGACATGGGGGTTTATTTTTACTAAGTGACTCCTAGACACATAGGAGGGAAGGAACATGTTTTAATGTAAACTTGATTTCTTGATTTCACTGTTAACTACACCTGTTAGAGCTTTATCATGCTTTTTCCCCCCTGCCTCCTCGAATATAAGCATAAGCACAGAGACTTAACTTCTACAGCAGTCCTTCCCAGTCCTTTCACTGCAAATCTTTTTTTCTTCTTCACTTTGTGGAGCACCGATGTATCATCTAAGTTGTTAAATCACAGCTTTGTACCACTGTACCTTTAGATTCCTAAGAGATGTTTAAGTCTGTAAGATTATTTAAAAGAAAAGCACAGTCAGCCCACAAGGTCAATTAGGTACTCACAGCTTTCCTTTCTTCCTGCTTACAAGTCCTTTATGTTTCTGTGGCTTACATGCATGTAGTTGAAAGCTTTACATGTGTAATTTACAGTCTTGTGGGAAGATTCATAAAATATTACTACATAAAATAATTCCAGTAAACATAAAAATAAGTTGGAATTTATTTCCCAAGCCTTTTTAAAAGGAAAAAACTCTCACATGTATCAAAACAACTGATACTGAAGTGTATGTAGAAATTGTCTTTCATTTCAAACATGAAATCACCCTTTTTAAATTACTAAAACCACGACCTCTTTGCAGTAAAGTTGAACATCTAACATCGTTACACTTGGCTCCCACTACTGTGGTCTGGAGAACGCTTTAGGTGTTTTAGAACTGTGCGTATTAATGGTGATGTTGAGATTTCCCTACACTAAACCCCCACAAGCCTTCCTGACACTGCAATTTTGTCTTAAAGTAAATCCCCTTGATTAACTTTCCCCCTCATCAGCAGTGCTCTTTACCTCCCTAGCCACCAGTACTAGGATAAGTACACACTGAACTGCAGCATGTAGGCAGTATGCAGAGAGGAAAAAAAATAAAAATACAGTACAACCTGCTTTATAATAAGAACTGTAAGTGACCTCTCAGTGCTCTGTGTGGTGCAACTGCAGTACCATGACAATGAGGCTTCATATAGAATAAAGTAACTTCATGGAGAAAAGACACTTCAGTAGGCAGTCTGCTAGTTCTGTAGAGTTGCTGGCGATACCTTGGTCGTCACCACTTTCTGCCAACAGTCAGTTGTGGCAATGCAGGAGCCCAATTTGACCAGGACGGATGACATTTAGCACAGGTTTTACAGCATAAAGATAAGGTTGACTGAGGACTGTTTAATGCAGCTCTCTTTCTGGCCACAGCACTGCAGCAGGGCAGAAGATGACAGCTGCATGTATCCACCTGTGTGTTCTGAATTTAATAAAGCCCTTTCTGGTGGTTTCTCCCTCACTCTTTGGATCTTTCCTCACAGTTCACAAGTAAGGGTCAATGAGCCTGCAGCAGGTGACTGACTGTCAGTCAGATTCCGACTTCTCATTAGATTTAGATGACTTACGCTTTCTCTTTTTCTTCTTCTTCTTTTCTTTTTTTTTCTTTTCTTTCTTTCTCTTTTTTTTCTTGTGTTTATCTCTACATTCTGAGGAAGTAGAGCTACTGCCACTTTCATCCTCCTCATCACTGTTATCATCATCTTCTGAGGTAGAGTCTTCTAGGAGCTGCTTCAGTTGCTGTATCCTGAGTTTAAAAAAATGTGAATGAGAATCCTTTCTAGCTCTCCTCTACCTGTAATAATTTATTCTAGCCTTCATCTGTGTCTTTCTTACTTGAGAAATAGAAGATGCATGCAAAGGGCATGAAGTTGGCTGAATTACACTCCCGTGATGTTTGTCACAGACCGAGAAAAGCAGTCCTTTTTTGAGACAAGTAGGCAATCTGTTCTTAGGGACTTTCCATCCCACAGGATATCAAAGGCAGACTGGCTCACTGGCCAATATTTATGTGTGCAAAGTAACAAGGTGACAGCTACTGCCAGACTATCATTAAAAGTTCTACACTTATCCATAGAGATGCAGACTGGAATTACAATATGATGAAATTCACTGCCCTGCTGATACAGAAATGACATCAGTGCAGCTGAAAGAGCTGGAGATGCAGAGGTACTTTTGACAGACACTCTTGCTTTGAAGTGTCATAGATTACTGGCAAATGGGGACAAACTATGTGCTTTTATTTTATTGTTGTCTTCAATATCCTCTCTATGGACTTGCTCTTTTTTCTAAAAAAACCACCACAACAACAAAAAAAAGAACCCACCACACACCCACAGCAGCAGTACTAGTTTATGGGCTACCTGTATTTGTGTTCAGTTATCTCACTGATGCAGTTCAATTAAGAAAGCATGAAAAACTCTGATGCTTTAGCTACTGAATAACAACCTCGTGTGAGGAACAACAGGAGGTGCTTTCTAAATGCAAGTACCTGAATATTATGGCATAAATGACTATGACTCTTCTTTAAACTTTGTTTTGTGGAAAAAAATATAGATGCTAATACGTAAAGAGGTAGGAAGTACTACTGAGTGATTATTGAGAAAGTAGAAATGCATTAGTCTCTCCCAACATAAAGAAAATGTCATTAAAAAAATGTTCGGAGGTAAGAATAAGCTTATACCAAAATTTCATCTACACATTAGTATCATATTATCAAAATTAAAACGAATTTGAAAATGCACTTTACTACAGATATACTTACCTCATTTCTTTTTCATGACGTTTATTTTCCCTTATTATATCGTACATTGGATCTTCATGTGCCTTTTAAGGTGGAAAACAGAAAACCCAGTGTTGGTAAACAAAAGTACTTATCATGGACTTGTATTTCCTAAAAAAATAAACCAAAGCAACATAATGCAAGAGGTTTTTACCAAAAAGTGAAATTCACTTAGCAACCTCTTAATTCACAAGTATACTCTCAGTCTGAACATCATTAATCTGAACATTTTTTTTTATTTTAGGAAAAGCTTACCTAGTTACATCACCAATGAAGGAGACTCTCCTTAAATATACTATCTCTCTCCCTCTCCAACCAGAGTTAACGAAGAGAACCCCACACGTATCCTATAAGAACAGCTAGACATAAATGGAATATTGATGTACAAATTAATGAGCCCTGCCCTTATAGCATATTTTAAAAACTTGGATACAAATATACAAGGAACACAAGAGCACAAGAGAATATAAGACAAACGGATAATGAAGTTGGAGTGGTACTAGCATGCCATGTGCTACCATTATTGGTTCTTAAATTGGTTATTTTTAATTTAAACAGACATTGTAGCAAAAGATAGTTGTTAAGGAAGATAGCAAATAAACTTTGCAGACATATAAGGTGAATTTATGCTGTGCAAGAATGCAGCAAAAAATTGCGGTGATCACTTCTGCTGGAAGATTAAGCAAACAAGGTCAGCTGAGAGGATGAATCAGATGTTGACCAGAGGTGGAAATTAAAATTTCAGTAGCAAATAAAAGATTTGGGAATGCACCACAAAGGGCCTTGGACTCTGAACATACAGCAAGAGTTTGATGAAACAGAGAAGAAGCCAAAGGAAAAATGAATAATAAAGGCAATCTGATCACGGGAGAGGGTTAAAAATACTCTTTGCAGTAGCATACAATCAGAATGAGTCCAGAATCTGGACAGATTACATTTACCAAGGACAGAAATGAGGACATAACACACAAAGTGATGAGCACTTGGGATATGGGTTAACAATGCAGAGCAACAGGAAAAAGTGAAAGAGATCACGCAGAAAGAATCTGCAGCACTGAGATGTGGCCTCATGTAGCAAGAGGGCAGACTTGTAGACAATGACGGGATTACAGACCTAGACAACAGGCTTCATGACGTGGTAGTTTACAGTGAGCACGGAAGGCTCGAAGCAGCTGTAATGGTGGCAGCTCAAGCTTCACTACGTATTTTTTGTTACATTGACATTTTCATCGCAAAAACTGAATACAATGGTTGAAACAGGCTCTTGAAGATTTCCAATTTAAATGTAAAAATTACTAATTTTCCTCTTGAAGACTAGATTTTCTGCCAAGTAGTCAAACACCCAACTACATATGTAGCTTCTTCTTTATTAGATTCTCAGCATCTATATTACACTAGAGACAAAGTCCTTAATAAAACATTGTCTAACGAGCTTCTCTTCACCTGCGGGATTATGCATCATCAGAATTAAAAAATACAAGCCATAATACCACAGTATTTATACTCACTACTCTAAATTGTTCCAGCTTCTGATTGCCTTTAATAAAGAACGGGCACTCCTTATCTCCTGTCCTGTGTCCATAACGTTTACATCTCCAACCTTTAAGAAAAGCAGCAGTGGTGAACTGTACCTCTGAGCCAGATCAGAAGGAAAAAAAAAAGAAAAAGAAAAAAACCAACCCAAACATATTTATGCAAAATATTTTCAATTTGCCAGAACAAATAGTGAGATACAAGTATTATGCTGATAAAAGGCAAGCCCTTCAAGATCCCGGTTGCTTTTATAGCAATACGATGCCAATCTTCTTGGCCCTTGTCCACCAGATATTCTGCTCTCCCCCAGAGCAAATGGATGGCTAAAGGAAGGTCCCATCTCATCTGGAATAGTTTCGGCCTTACACTGCATGACTTTGACTTCTTTTCCCAAAGGCATCCAAAGCCCTTTTGTTGGGGCATGTGCCAGGAATTCTCGAGCACTTTCATTGCCTGGTACGTCAGGTATGCAATCTTCTGGTTTTGTTTCATTCTCCTATGAAAAAACGATAAAGACAATAAAATTGCGTATTTATTATTTTAAAACTTTGTAGATATTAATACTCCAAGTGTGCAGGCCTTCACTTAATGTGGAACCTCTTTTCCCATTTTTCTTGTAGACTCAAAATAACTGACCCTTTTAACAGCATTAATTTTACATTTCCTTCATCCTTGAATTTTCCAGTCTCAACTTTATTGCCATATTAATTCCATTCCTTCCATTTTTGTAATTTATTTAAATAAATAATATAAATGAAAATTTAACAGACAAGCAGAGACTTCATTTTCCTCTTCCTGCTAACAAAATACAATGACTAAAACTAGCCACTTCATCACAGAGCAATATTTTTTAGGTTAAAAGCACTAAACTATGGTTTAGGTTTATAAATTTGGCAAAAGCAGTGATTGTTATGGAAGGGAAGTATTATTTCCCAAATATTTGAGTGTAAGCAACGGAGAAGAATCTGTAGAGTCATCATTCAAATGGAAAATCTGCTTCACCATAAATTATTCCCCTCTATCTACGCTATTAAATACTGCATCAAGTGTGCGTGCTAAGAGGTGATGAAAGAACTGGTATCACCCAATCTGATTCTGGGCATTTCACTCTGGATTCACCAAGTCAAAGAGACTGGCTTGTAACTGATGAGGTCTGAGTTTTTTACTTGAAGCACTTACTTGTCACTGTAATTTATACAGGTAACAGATGCTTAAAATAAACGCCTCAAAGACCGGTTGTGTGAAAATCCCTAAAAAATCACAGCAATGTATTTACCAACCTTAATTAGCCCTGGGGGAGGTTTCTCATAGCTGAAAAGCAACAGAAATATGTTTACTCTGCAGACAAATACATCAAGAAAACCAGTATTTCAATGGTAAAAACTTCACCTCACGTTTTGCCTTAAATTTTACTCAATTGATAATCACTAAGAGCTACAGCAGAACACAGACACCTGGATGCAAGCAGACAGACATGCAGCATTTGTCCTATCACCACACTTGTCTCTTAAAAATACTCTTCAGATTCATATTCTCGTGGGTGAACACCTAGTTTCATCGCACTGCTTTACAGGGATGTGTGGTATGTCCAGTTTAGCTTCAGTTACCACACATGGACTATTCTCTTTTTCTGTGGCACTCCTCCTCAAGATCTTGCTAATCCAAATTTCTTTATTCCAGCACTGCTGAATCATAGAAATACTAAGCTGAAAGCATCAAGTCAGACTGTTCTTCACATCTAGCTTTGCCAGCCAATGTATGTAAGAATTTCATCCTCTTCTCTCCCTGTATTACACCTAAGGAATGAACTGTGCTGATCAAAGTACCATCCTTCCTGCAGCATTTCTCTGGAGTTAATAGCAGATATAATTTACTAAAATCCAAATAGCAAGGAGATGCTATATAGAGCACAGCAGCTGAGAAAGAGCACGTGCTTAAGAGTTAAATGCCAAGATGCTATGAAATGATCTTTATAGCAATAACTTTCTGAGTGCTGTTCAGTGCATTTTGTAACAGGTTTTTACTTCCATTTGGAAAGGAAAAAATCACATTCTTGTGAACTTTCTGATCGTTTTATTCCATTAAACCCCTTTCAATAAAATAGCATAAACCTTTTACAGCACCACAGGCTACCGATGGAGTCATTAGGTAGATCTCAAACCTTTTTATCCTAATTTTTCCTTTATTTTTTCTAATCACTCTACTGAAAACAGGACCAGAAACCCTCTGCTTCTACGCTGCAACTCCCAGACTTCTAGGAACCTGAAAAGAACCATTTCCCCCTCTCCCCGCCCCCTCCCCCAAAAAAAAATAAAAAGAAACGTTATAAACGCTTCAATCGTCGGAGAGACACCGGCTGCCCAGTCGGCACCGCTCCCAGGCACAGCAGGTACACCACCGAAAGCAGAAATAAAAAACCCGAAACACCCCAACCCTGCGCTGGAAA